CATATTCTTTTTGAAAATAACAATTCTTTAGCTAAAAATTTCTTTAACATAACACCCTTCCCCCCAAATCCATTCCATTTGTTGAGCCTGCCAAGACTCTATCTTGGCCCAGATTACCTAATCAGGACTAAGCTCTTAAGCAGTGTTAACTTTTACCCGTGTATATATTTAATTCCCTTAAGAAGTCATACTAGATTAGTCAGTCATGGTTCTTTTTTTCTGGAGGTTATGCTCAATGTCTGTGCAATAATTCCTTACTGTTTATTATATGTAAATCTGTGCTTACAAACTTTAATATTCTTATTAAACTGCAGACTGATCTAGGAGATCGTAGGCAGGCCCCATGATTATGCATATCTAACAAACCTCCAGGTTTTGCTCTCATGTTGGTCCACAGAGTACCTGGTTATGCACTTCATCATGAATAGCAGTAAAACTAATCAGTCTTCTAGAAATCACTGAGGTCTTCCTAGAAAATTTCTCAAGAGGTGAAAATCACATTGTACGTGCAGTTTGCAGGCACAGTCAATGTTCATGGATTGGCAATAGTTCCCCAATTTCACCCACAAGTTCCTTCAAAACTCTTCAATATATGCATCAGGCCCCAGCTTCCCCACCCACCTCAACAGTCTGTCAATCAAAAATGGTTCATGTTATTTCTGCTGTTATCTATTAGATAAATTTAATCCCCCAGCTTCAAAGGGCAATGTATAACCCCCAGGCTCATTCTTCATAAAATCTACACGTTAAAATATTCCTCTAATTTTAGAAACCAGATATAAGGATGAGGTTTTGGGAGGCAAATATAGTTAATTACAGCAATTATAATGAGAATTAGCAATATTTTCAAAATCTATATTCCAAAGCCAGAAATACAAACTGCAATGTTAATGGTTACTGCTATAGTCAATATTATTTCCCTTACATACATCATAGCAATGTAGGCGGTATCCCTATCTTTACAAACATCTTTTTCTTTACGGAGATTGAGTTCTAAGTCAACAGAACTACATTGAATGAAGCCTCTACAGGAAAGACAGAATTGGGTGGCCCCCAAATGACACACATTCCAAAACCAGTTCTAAATATCTTTGTGATCATTTACTTTATATATTTTCTGTTCCTCTTTCATCCCTAATAATTTAGGTAATAAAGACAACTTATGTAGCTTCTGCTCCTATTTTCAATTTATTCAAAGTTTATGAAAATGATGCATTGAAAGTGACTAGACATAGATCTGGATATTAACTGTAATCTAACTCAGTGGCTCAATGATAGCTAGGATATCTAACAAGAACTTATAGGAATCAGAGGAGTCTGTAGGCGATGTGTGAGCTAAGCAGAACAACTACTTGCTGTTGGAGAATTTGGGAACATGTAATGTAGATAAGAGATGCTAGGGTGCAGTGAGGAGAGAAGGTAAACGTTCAGTCAATACTCTGTACTCTGTGAGGTGTTGAGGAGAGAGGATGATTCAGGTAGGGTTTCTCCTTTATGAGTCTTAAATTCTACTTGTTACCTAGATCCAATATCTTCCTGGTTCTAGTAATCTTATACTTAATAAGATATCTAAATGATTATAGAATTTGTCATTTACACTAGAATCCAGAAACTCAAATACCTACATGCCCAGAGAGGTAATAAAAATGTACGAATTAGAGCTGATTTAATATCATCCTTCTCCAGAATATTCTGAGTTTCAAAGGTGATAATGTATGTGTAGGTGTTACATTTTGGGAAAGAGATACTAATATAGTCATCAGTGATTTAGGAAGCAAACAATGGCATGCAAAATTTATAGAGACAGTTCAGAGGTAAGAAGGTAGAAGAAAAATTGAAGAACCCAGAAGTTAAAGGAGGAATGTGACAAAAGCTATATGCCTTAGTTCAGGCTGTCATAAGAAAACACCAATACTGGATGACTGAAACAACAAAAATTGAGTTTCTCTAGTTCAAGATAAGGGTGCTAGCCTGGTGGGTTTCTGGTAAAGCTTCTCTCCCTAGCTGTGAATGTCTGCCTTCTCCCTGTGTCCTCATATGGGAGAGAGAGGGAGAGGGCACCAGTCATGAATGTTCCATCAGGATGACCCCATATACTTAACTTTTTAAAACAATACAAGAGTGAGATAGACTCAGAGAGCTCTGAAGCAATTCTAAAAGACGTATTCATTCTCTTTGAAACTGAACTCTGTGACTGAATCTAATAACAGTATAAAATAAAAGTCTAAAAACTGGGGGTTGGACTGGGGTAGGATGCCAGCACTCTTCATTTCTAGGGCATAAGTGTCTTACGGGTTAGAAAACATTAAAACAGGGCCCTCCCTGGTGGCACAACAGGTGAAAGCATAGCACTATGAAGCTATCACAGACCCTGAAGTACAACTTCAATCCCCAGCCAAGGAGCTGACCCACATAGCATGGCAAATCTCTCCTGTCTCACCTGCTGCTCGCCTCAGCAGTGTATTGCAGTACACCTGCCTATTCTGTTCCCCACTCTGTCTCTGCTGAATCCTCTTACTCCCTGCACCTCTGGCCTGTACCCCCAGTTCTGTGTGCATAAATAAATGAATCTTAAAAAAAGGAAATCATTAAAACAGCAAGATGTTCTGTAGCTTGAATTCAAAATACAGTGAAGTCACTCTCATGGGAAGAAGACAGGATGAAGTGGGAGCCACAATGATGCTGAAGGGCCTTTCCAATGCTAACCCCTCTATCTCTTCTACAAGGATGAAGCAGTGAGATTTGTAGATTGTGTGCAGCTTTCAGATGAGGATGCTGGCAATATTCTTTCATGACCTAGGTGAAAGAGGCCCTACAGCACTAGGTTTAAATCTGCAGAAAGAAGAAATGAAATGAATAAACTGGCATCATTAATTCAAATAAACTCAGTGGGCCACCTGAAGCTATAAGATTAGGGAAGAAGATTAAACCAGGGTTTAGGAAGAAAACTGTAAAACAACAACCAAAAACCTTTAACTCACATAGGAGGAAAGTAACTAAGTATCAGGCAGTAAGCAGAAGAAAGGAGAGAGAGTGCATGCTCCTACTGAAGGAAAGGATGTCAGATATGTTTGAATTCTCAAAAAAATAAAAGTGATGAGAAATAGACTATTTCAGGGAGTTAAAGGGAGAGCACATCACTGAGAAATCAATGACATATAGAAAATCAATACCAGTTGGCACTGAAAGAGAGCCTCACTGTTGAAAAAGATCTTGTCAGTTTATTTAGTGCCAGCACAATACCTGGCATATAACAGATGCACGCTAAGTATTTGCAGAGTGAAAGATATACTAAGTCCCCACAACAACCCTGAGATTGAGATGTACAGAACCCAAAATTAATACAGTAAGACACAACAAAATGCATAGGTACAATAGGAAAAGAGTAAATTTAGAATGTGGGCAAGACAAGCCAGCTTTAACTTAAGACAGGGATGATTGTTAGTGAAGTCCTTGTAATTACATCAACATTCTGCTTAAATTTATCTAGATAGATTCAGAGCTATTTAGATTCAGTAAGAATTTCAATGTGAGTTTATAAGTAACTGTTGCATTTATTAGATTATTAATCTATCGAGAAAGGACTTGTGGGAATGTGATTTCAAGATGTATTCTAAAATATCTTTTTAGATTCAAGTGAAAATTAGTGCAAAAACACCTAAGTTTTGTATCTGGGTTATACTTCTATGCATAATTACACACATTTGTTATCTTTTGGACAGAACTGATTATACGGTAAACAACACTGCAAATATTCAGACTAAGCACACTACTTTATTACTTCCTTGATCATGTACTACCCTCTCTCGCCCCAACCGATTTTTTGATATTTTTTTAATTCATGTCCCTAATGTTGCCTGGTAAATTAATGAATATATCATAAACATCTCAGGCGTTGATTTTGCTTTTTAAATAAAAGTTAAAGGTATATTTGTGTTGAATATACCCACTAAAAGTAATCTTTTAAACTGGGGAGAAACCAACGTATGCTTTTTCTGGAACGTTAGTGAAAAAATTAGAAAGTTGTAAAAAATCAGAAAGTTATACACCACACCAATTCTGTACAACGACGCTTGTAAAAGTTTTCAACCCAAACCTCCCCAGTGAAATTTATAAGAAACAAAAACTGAAACAGAACAGCGGTATCCTGCCGACCGAGTGAAATTCCAATTGCTTGTAGAATTTTAAAGCATTATTACCTTTTTGTATTTATTGAAACAAACGTGTGAACACATATTCGTTACTGTTATTCCCTGAACTTCTCTTTTTAAATCAAGCAGAGAACTGAAAACCACTTGCCCTTTGGTGTGTTCTTTAAAAAACAATTATTACTATTAGATAAAGAAACCCTAGAATGGAATCAAATGAAACCTATGGTGAAAGAGTAACTACAAAGGAGGAAAATCTGTGTCTAGTATTAAAGCACAGTCCTTTTACCCCTAACACACACTGTCCATCTCGCCCGCCCACCCACCATTTTCCCGGGGGGTGGGGGTGGGGAATGGGTTAAGAAGCGTTTAAAAAGGGCTTGATGAAAAAACTCGGATGTCAATTAAAAATGCTCGGAATAATTAAAATATATAGAAAAACACTAAGGCCACTATAGCTCGAGAGGTTGTGCAACTTTTGGGGAGAGGGGGAGTAGGTACTGCGGGGGGTGCCGGGACAGGAATGAGGGTGAAATAGGAAGAGGTCTACGGGTGAAAATAAAGGAGACTGGAAGGAAAGGGAGTAATAGGGAGGGAAGAGGAGGGGAGGGGAAAGTAAGGGAGGAGGAGGAGTGGGTAGGAGGAGGGGTGGAGAGGGGAGAGATGGAGAGTAATAAAAAGGGGAAAACCGAGAGCTGACTGCATTAGGCGGCAGCAGAGGACCGGACGGTTCGAGACCGGGGAGGGGGTGGGAGGGTTGAGGCGGGGAGGGAGAGGGAAAGGGAACCCCGGTCCCGGCCCCAGTCTCGGCCCCGCCCCGGGACGCCGAAGCGCCGGCTCACCCCCCCTTACCAGCTGGAGCAGGAAGCCCCAGAGCAGGGCAGCCGCGCCGAGGGGCAGTGGCCGCTGCGGCCCCATCGGACCGATGGGTGCGGTGCGGCGGGGGCGGGGGGCGTCGGATCCCGCCGCGGCGATGCGTCCGTGGCCCCGCTGGACAGGGGTGGACAACGAGGCTAGACTGTTGCCGCTGCTGTTACCGGGGCCGCCACTGCAGCGCTGACTTCCCCTTCCGGTCCCGCCCGAAGGACGCGGAAACTCCCGCGTGGGGCACGTGGAGCCCGGGGTCCGCGCGCGCCGCCCTCCGGCGTCTCCGCGTCCACGCGCGGGCAGTCGGGGCTGTGGCCTGGGCATGTCTGTCCTGCTGCCAGACCAGAACGCTCTCTGGAGGCTTGGGAAGCCGAGGGGCTTTTTTCAAGGTCCTTTACCTCCTAGGAGTCCTGGTAACTGTGCCCACTACCTATTATGGACCATTATCCACATAGCCTTCTAGAGAAATCTTATAAAAAATATATAAATTAAGCCATGTCACACCCCATGACACGTAGAACAAAGTCAAAATGATTCTGGCCTCAAAGTTTACATAATGTGCCCCCTTCATCTCTGACTCCATTTTCACTTTCACAGGCTTGCTTCGGTTGGTTCTTCTAACCTTTGTACCCGTAGTCCTCCCCGCTGAAATGTTCTTGGAATTCCTTGCTCCTTGGCATTCACTTATCACCTTAAATATCACTTCCCCCACAGGAAACGTCCTGATATACCCTTTCTGATTAAGAGTAATGACCGCCCTGTCATTTTCATTACACTTTTCACTCTTACTTATCTGCTTGTGACGTTGCCTCTGCACGCCATAGCAAAAAGTGCCTTTGCTTTTTTGTTGTCCCCTGTATTTGCATTTGGCAGACAGTGGGTCCTCAGCTATTTGTTAGTGAATATTCAAAACAAACACTGAGTAGGAATCTGTCCCTGTCATTGTACAACTCAGTTTCAGTGAAGGTCACAGATAGGTGAGCAAACACACTTCAGAGAGAATAGTCACTGTTGTTTTCACAAGATGCTATAGGAGCACCAGAGAGAGCTATAAAAGGAGTGCCAGGAAATGTCCAACCTAAACTGAGTGCAGAGGGTGAGTTAATTTTAGCCAGGCAAAGGGCAGGGAAAGGAGGGGATTTCCAAGAAGAGTGTACCATTTGTGTCAAAGCCAAATGTGACATTGGAGAAACTGCAAAACCTGGATGTGGCTGAACTTGTAAGTGGTGAAAGATGAAGTGAGAGAAGAAGGCAGAGGCCCAATCACAACTAGTTTGTGACATCCTGCTGGGATTTTAGGCTTTATCCATTTGGTTGTGGATGTCACGGGTAGATGAACGAAAAGGACAAAGATATGAGTCTCAAGAAGTTTGAAAGGGCAGCTAGGGAAAGATTCTTAGTCTTGCTCTGCTCACCACAGCTGTTATTAGCAGAAAACACAAAGTTACAAAGCAAGATGAAGGATGGGCAGAACTATAAGACGGTGGTTCATTTTCTTATTTCTAGATATTCAGCATATTTCTGGCACACATTCACCCAGAGTCTGCATTATCAAATTGTTCTTTTCTCCCAGTTTCACTGGTGCAAGAAAATTCATCCTTATCTATATACAGGCCAGTCTTCCAACCCATGTTGATCAGTCTCTTAGCCCTTTCAGGCCTTCCAGCCCTGACCCTGATGTTTTCCTTGTCCCAGTGCTCCACACCTTAGGGGTCTCCACATTTATCACAATAAATGTGATAGACAAACTGTAGTATTCTAATGCAGGCCAGAAGATAGGGACCACGGCAGAAAAAATGGGGAGGAGAAGAGATGGCTCTGCAAGATTTATATAAGAATTTGGTAACTGAGAGGGTATGGGGGTTGAAGGATCCTGCCCTGTGTTATTTATTGAGAAGATCAGCAAAGAGGCAGGAGGAGGATGTGAGTGAAGAAACATAAATAATTTTAACTATGAATTTAAAAGTGCCTGTAGGATTTGCAAATGTCTGCAAATGCCAGTAGGATTTGCAAATGCCAGTAGGATTTGCAAATGCCTGTAGGATTTGCAGATGTCTGCCACTCTTTTGTGGCACCTTGAGACCAGAACTCAAATCTCCTGTTTGTTAGTGCTAGACTCTTTCATACATTCTACCTACCTGGAATAACCCAGTCCCCTCTTTAGTAAGATGGTGTAATGGACTAGATGACATCTCTAAATGTTCCCTTGGGGTCATAGTGACTCTTTACCTAGTGAACCTCCAACGTGCATCAGGAAGCTCTCTGACGACTACTAGTTTTCTTATATATATTTATGCCCATTTTTCCTTTGCTTCATTGGAAGAAAATTTTGTACTTGCAGCCAAGAACACATGTTATTAAACTAGTTACTTGGGAAATCTCTTTGCCTGCTTTAGTTTTCACAGTTGAGAAAATGTGAATAGTTAATACCTGTTGTCTATATCACCTGATTATTATTAAGTCTACATGATTTGTAATGTGTATAAACTATTCAGAAAATTACAAAAAAAAAAAAAAGTGGAAGCGGAAGACAGAGAAGAACAGAGGGCTGTGTTATTTCCCTAGTACAAAGTATCAGTACTATTTGTTGTAATTCTGCCAAAATGGTCTCTCCTTGGCCAAAATACAAGGTGAAGGGAACGAAAATGGGAGGGTTAATGGAAGATTGAAATATTCTTGTTTAATGACTTTACTACCAGAAAAGCTGTTAAAGGTTATTTGGAATATATTCTCCGTTAATATATGGATTTTCCTGCCAGTATAACTTTGTAGTCAGTATTTTTCTTTCCTAAATAAACTTGTAGAAACCCAATCATGGAAAGTAAAATCCATTATATTAAAGATAGTTTTAATTTAAAATTGTTAATAGAATTTTTTCCCGATTGTCAGACTCTATTTTATGAAGTGGCAGGAAATATTTGTTCCAGTTTAAAAGAAGAAACTGTTTGATTGCTGAGCTAAAATTCACTCCCTCTGCTGCACATACAACCTGCTGTTTGCCTTTACTGTTTGGTGTTTTTCACTCAGGGGACACAGATGAAATGTTGGTAATAAGCCCCAAAGACTTTCTTGGACAATGAGGATAATTCCCTAAGTATAGAACACTATACTGTAGACTAGCTTGAAAGTATGAATACAAAAGACTATCAACCAATATCACCCAACTGGCATTCATAGAAAACTCCATCCACAACTGCATAATATACATTATTTTCAAGCAGGATCCTTACCAAAATAAACCTTTAGCCATAAAATAAATTTTAATAATTTAATGACTGCAAATCATAGAGACTATGTTCTTTAAGCACTGCAGAATTAAATTAAAAACCAATAACAAAGACACATTCTCAAATAACTAGAAACTAAATGCATGTATCCAAGTAACCCATGAACAAAAGAAGAAATCATAGGGAATGAAAATAATCTGAGCAGATAGAAAATACAAGCACATTAAAGTTGTGGGGGACAGGAAAAGCTTTTAAAAAGCATTTAAAAAGAAATTTGTCTCCTGCACTGCTGGTGGAAATGCAAGCTAGTACAACCACTATGGAAAACTTTTTGGAGGTTTCTCAAACTGCTAAAACTGGAGTTTCCATATGACCCAGCAATCCCACTCCTAGGGATCTACACAAAAGACAAAAACACTGATTCAAAAAGACACCTGCACCCCCACGTTTATTGCTGCTTTATTTACAATCGGAAAGACATGGAAACAACCCAAATGCCCAAAAGTAGATGACTGGATTAAAAAGATGTGGTACATATACACAATGGAATATTACTCAGCAACCAAAACCACACACACACACACACAACTTTTACAGCAACATGAACGGATGAACGGAGCTGGAAAAGATCATGCTCCATCTTTTCCAGAAAGACAAGGAAAAATACCGGATGGTTTCACTCATAGTAGGAGTATAAAGTAAAAAAAAATAATAATGAACAACTATATACCAGAGACATTTTATGGGGGTGGAATGGGGAATGGGATCATTGTTTCATTGTTCTTGGTACTATAGAAAAACGAGGTACTATATAGTATGTAAGAAATAGTGAGGGGCAGTGGTTGATTTTAGAGATTGCTGGAAAAGTCAAGGTCTAGCTCATTTCCAGGGTTTCCAGGCATAGCTGTTTGACACATATTATTAAAATCTGTCTTTGATTCCAGATGAAATAATTGACTTGGTTTTCTTGCTTGGGTCCTAAAGTATTATCTTTTGGTCTGTTGAGACTACTCTGGAATTTTTAAACCAAACATTCTTATTTATAGGAGCCTCTAGATTAATAAACTATAACCCATAGTTAGTAAACGCAGTCAGATGCTGGTGTACAAGAATATTTCCAAGTGTCTAAATTTCTGTTCATTATACAACAGAGTACTTTCTGAATGACCTTTTGGGCTCAACTTTGTTATGAGTCTGTCAACTATTAGCTTCTCAGGGGAAAACAAATTCAGACTTTTTAACTAATAGTGTAATTCAATGAAACTAATTAAGCTATTATGTACAAGGTGAATAAGGAAATGTTTAGCTATAAGTCAGTACATTTTATCCCCCCAAACAAATGATAATACCAATTCACAAAAGAATTAACATCTTAAGTCAATATTTTATCAATTGTCTGATTTGGCAAGAATGTTACAGTTATAACTACATATAGACTGATCACCATGGGTTCTTTACCTAAAATGTAAAGTATATAATTATATTTTCTTATTAATGTGTATTGACAATATTAGATTATCTCCCCACCCGCACCCCACCACTACCTTTCCTTGTTTTTCATTAACTGGTATTCTATGTCAGGTGTGCATGCCTAAGATTGTGATGATAGGGTCATGTGAGATGACCAGCCCACTTTAGGCATTAGTGCGTAACCCATTCAGCAACTATAACCGGTCAATTCCAGTCACTTGAATCAGCTGAGATGGGAATATCAGTTTAAATGAAAGTGTAGTTGGGGTGGTGACCCACTCACTGTCACGGGGTAGAGACTTAGGGTCATGTGTCTAAAACTCATTAACAAAAGTGTAGAGCACAGGAAATAGGAAAGCATAAAGAGAAGTCTTATAATATATGAAGATAAAAGAGCACTAAATATTCTTTAACTTTGCTTTTTCTTGAAGTCTAATATATAGGTTGGGAAGTGCACATATTGTAAGTATATC